CCTGCACCCTGGGCCCAGGGCCGCTGGCGCTCGGAAGGTGGAGGGCGACCATGGCGACAGCGCACCCTCCTCCTCCCATGGGCTGTGGCGCGGTTCGGGGGCTGGGGTGGCCTCTCTTCTCCAAGATGCTTGTGGGATCGGCTGCCCCCACCTCCCAGGGCCGCCTACTTGTCCCCACCTAACCTGGTAACTCACCTCCTGACCTTTCAGAGTCCAGAGCACCCCCCCAACCGCGCCTCACCTGACTGCAGGTGGGTGCGAGAGCAGGGTGCACGCGGGACTCGCCCCCGCGCTGGGCTAAGGCGCAGTGCGGGTCCCGCGCAGGCCAAGTCGGCCTGCGTCGCTGGTAATTGCAAGGCCCCAAAACAAAGGTTGTTCCCCAGCCCCCCTTTCCCCTGTAAGAGGATATCGGGGTTGAGCCCTTAGATTTGCCCTTTCTCTTGCCTTGGAGGGGAGAGGCGAGAACTGCTGGCACCTTTATGGGCTCGGCCCTGCGCTGTGGGAGCAGGCGCAGCCCCACTAACTTTGATCAGCCTTATTAATTCCAGCTGCGCTCTATTTGTTTGTCATTTTCCCCTTTTCCTCTGGAATCATTATTTATGGCAGAAAAAAAGGTGCCCACTGGTAGAACGGAGACAAGGAGGGTATTTCTGAGAACCCAGCAGGTGAATGTGAGTGTTTTCATTTAAAGGTCACCAAAACGGAGGGGTGGGGAAGGTTGGGTCTGATCCACTCTTCTTTGAATTTATTACTCAAGAGCATTAACTAATTACCAGATCAGAGAAATGAAAAAACAAATATTCCTCAAAATAACTGAAGGTAATTATAACCCTGTTGTTGACACTAATGATTAATAATTGATCAGGAGTTACACATAATAAATTGTCAATTTATCTCCCCACAAAAATGGGAGTGCTCGTGTAGCCTTGTTTTGTTTCTTCCCTCTGGGTATTCTCTGGGAAGATCGTCTGGCTGTGCATTGGAGGCAGCCCCAAACCTGGCTGTCAATGCCATACGAATATTGGATTTAATTTGCTTTCACCTCCATATAGAACAAAGTAACATTGGAACACCTTTTAAAAAGACGTTTATTTATTATCTTGGGGCCAGATTTAAACAAACAAAAAACATTCTTCCTCTTTCCTCTTACCTGGGATTGCAAAAGAACCGATGACAGATATTTCATAACTCATTCCTTTTTTTATTGTATTACCTCCTAAATAATGTCTTCCATTTTTATCTTTCTTAGAAAGAGGGAGAACACTCTGCCCTCACCCTGGGAACACAAGCCTATTCTCTACTAGGAGGGTGGGGAGGACAGAGGTGGCAGCTGAGACCATATTCCTCTGTTTGCAGAGGGTGCAGGTGAAGGGGTAGAGTGAAACATGCAAGTGGCGTGACTGTACCCTGAAACTGGGGTAAGAAGTGGTTTCTCTTCTGCCCATCAGTGGCTGAGGTCCAAGTGCATATTGTCAAATACCAGCTTCAGGGTCTTCTAGCCCAGCAAAGGGGTGGGGGGGCTAGTGAGTACTTTCATTACAGCCAATAGAAAGTAATTTTCAGCAACTGGAAAATTATATTGTCATAGATTACTTCTCCTTATAATTAGCCTTTAAAATATCTGTAGGGATTTGTCACTTGCATAAAGGTTTGAAAATACATCAAAGGGACATGTTCCCCTTGCGATTTGTAGAAATTCAAATGATGTTAATCATAATATCCACATATCACAGACGGTTGTGTATTGTTCCCAAGATAGCCCCTTGGGTTAACACATTTTAAAAATATTTAAAATGCTATTTCTGTAAAAGCAGTTTAAAAACACATATTTAATAGCTCTATTTATATTTTTAATTTGTAGTTTAAATGAATGTCTTCCTTGGTATTTCCAATGCACCAAATAAAATTATATAGTGACAATTATTGTATACTGTGACTTAGAGAAAACTTTCTAATAATTCAGAGTGTTACTTAAATTTGAAAATGCTTGCCTCTGATAGGACCACAAATTGGTTTGGAATGATTTTTTTTCAAATTGATGTCTATTTAATTGGGTTCTAACAGTGGTAGTTTAGTGTACATTTATCTGTATCGTTAAAAAACAAAGAATCCACTTTACTTTTAGCCTCTTCAATAAATATTTAAATGTAATTGTAAATGATCCGAAAACGCTCTGGAGCTTTGGAGGGTGGCTATTTCATCTCTGCGTTTTTTTCGCAGTGGTTCGCACCTCCGGGAGCCTGCAGATATCTGATCAACACGAGCATGGAGAGGAGCCTCGTGGAGACACCCCTCGCCCCGCCACTCCCCCACCTCCAGAACCCCGCGGCGGCGCGAGGGGGGCGGGCGAGGCGCACCCCAGGACTCCAGGCTGCCTGAGCCAGGCCGGCCGCCCCCGGCCCCTGCCTCGCCCTCCGCTCCCCGCCCCTCCCGCCTCGCCGCAGACAAAGGTGGATGAAGTTCTTTCCAAGTTTCAAAGGCAGTTGCTGGGCAGCTTTGCAGAAACAATAACTCTTTTATTGGGAACAAATGTTGACATTTGACGGGCGCGGGAGGCAGCGCCCGCGCCGGCCGCAGGGCAAGCCCCCCACCGCCCCCCGTGCTCTCGGCAGCGCCCGGCCCCCGGGGCCCACCTGAGATTAAAGCGCGAATTCCGATAAATCAGCTCTAATGCAACCCCGGGCCGCGGAGCGCGGAGAGCTGTCGCCGCTGACCACGCGGGCGCGGGCGGAGGAGCCGGAGCGCCCGGGCCTGCACCGCGCCAAGTCGGGGCGAACGCCCCAGGGCCCCCGTGCTCCGTGCTCCGGCCGACGGGTCCCCGACCTCGTCAACAACTGCAGAGGAGGATTCTATCTTGGCCCGCTACGTAATTTTGCATTAACAAAATTTTAAAACAAAAATGAAAGTCAGACCCCATTAGCTGCCTCCCTCCCCGAGGAGGGCTCTCTCCCTCCCTTCCTTGTTTCTCTTCCTCATTCATCTTTCCCGGCGACCTGCGTGGAGAGGCGCTCATAAATCACTCTGCATTTCTTTAAAAAGATCCTCTAAACACCTGCGGGTTTTATGTTCTTAGCGTATATTTAAAAATCAAGTTCTCCAGAAAGAAATTCAGATCAGGAGACGGGTGGGTAAGTTATGGAAATCTTTGATAATTTGTTGGGCATATAAACATCAAAGAAGCTTCTTTAGCCTGGGCTAATCTCCTGAGCGGCTTTGAATTTTCACCAATTGAAATGTGCAGGTCGTCCCAGAGAACAGGGTCTGAGCGGGGGGAACAGGAATCCCACGTGCAGGTAAAACAATCTTCCCTGTCCCAAAGGGAGGCGGCTTTCACCCAGCTCCAGTGTCTGAACATATGCACAGAGATCAATTCGTGCTTGGATTTCTCCCCGCACGCTCCGCTCCTCCCTAAGAGATGTGTTGCTGGAAATGTATCTTCATTAGTGTGCATGGTCTTTCGGTGTTTGTTTTGTTAAATATTGTTAACTTTCAGACTTTTCACTGGTCTTCAAAATGCTCTCGTTAGAATGTTACATACAACAGAGATATATTGCTGCCGCGGGCATTTTATTCCCTGCTGATTTAGGAAATGTGGTTAATGCTAATAAAAGTGAAGTACTTAGGACCGTGATATTGCAATATAAAATGCTTCCTGGAGGGGAGAAATCATTATCTTTATGGAAATTCTATGAAGGTTTTATGTCTAAAACCAAAACAGCAAACGTACTCAACGCTCATTCTTGCTTCTCCAGACCTTGAATTTCTTTGCTTCCAGACACACTGCCACAGAGTGGCAAGGAAGGCTTCCCATGTGAACACTCTTCCCTCTCCCCAGCAGACAGCTCAGCTGCGAACATTTCCATATGTATTACTAGAGGAGGCAGGGAAGAGAGAAAAATAGTTCTCCACCCCAGAGATTGACTTTATGTCTGACCTCCAAACGCTTCAGTATTTAAAACCAACAAAATGCATGAGAAGCAATAGAAAACCAAAACCGAGGTCCGCTCAGGTTCTCCAGTCAAACCACAATTGCTCCTCGCCGCCAGCGTGGTTCTGTGTCCAGTGAACAGTCCCCTGGCTTTGCCCCAAGGATCTGAGATTACTTTCAAATACCCTTTCTAACAAGACCCCAGCAAGAGGCCACTAATTTCTATGGCACAAAAAGCCACTGGAGAGAGATCCGTTTGTCAATATCAACTGGTCCAGCAATTTCCCATCCTCAGACACATCGGCCTATCGGAGCTGGCAGATGTTTAGACAAGATTTTATAAATTGTTCAATATCAGCCCATAATGAACCCCAACTGACCATTCCAAAGCAGCTAGAAGCATCGGAGACCTCCCCCACTGGGATCCAACAATGCTCTCATGCCGCAACATTATTAATCATGGAGTAAAATAGATGAACCTCTTGAAAAATAAGTGTATGATTGATTAAAGGGCAATCTAAGAAGCTATTATTCTTGTTTTATAACCGTAAGTTATATTCACTCAATTTATCTTTGGAGAGGAAATAAATGATTGTTCATTTCTTTTCTGAAATTATATTATGTGGATATCCATATAATTCTGCTGAAAATTAAAGTGACAGGTTTGCTGCTTTTATGATACTAATCAAAGAGAATATGTTATGTGACTACAAATTTTAGACGTGTCCTGTAATTAGAAAGTGAGTCACACAATAAAGAGGCCATAGTCTCAGGTTGTTTAAACCTTTCTTTTCCCCCAGGGTAAGGGTAACAGCCTCTGAGAGGAAACTAAGTCCCTCCCCCCAGACTTCACCTCGCATTTAATGTGAGTTATATGAAAAGGAGAGTTAAGAAATCATTCAGTAAATCTGAATAGTGCCAATTTGGATAATTCAGCTTTAAAAAAACAATTATTCCCATCAGCACTTTATTGTGGGGGATGTACCTCTCCATTATCCATATTATATTCTGCAGTTTAGCTTACTGAGGAGGTTCAATAAATCAGCATCAGAAATAAATATAAAATGCATAGGGGTATCAGATCATTTTATTATATTTTGCTTAGTTTTAAAAATTTACACTAACAAGTAATTTGCATATTCAGAGCACAAAAAAATCTTAATTTTCTTGCAATACATTTGTATATAAATAATCTAGAACCACATGTATCTTCCTATCACGCATTTTTCTATGTCTGCCTTTCTTTTTAATAAGCATAAGAAAGGAGAGTTTATTTCACACAGCTTTTCACTGAGAAGGGGAGGTCAGATCACCTGGAGGTCATCATCGCCTGGGGGCTCCAAACCCAACTCTCTCTTCTAGGAAAAATGAGCCCCAAACACCATATTACTGTAGACTAGTCTGTTTTTATTTACAATTTAAGATATAAATTAGTAAAGAATCCATGTTAAACAACCAACAAAGATTGTATAACCAGCAATGTTCAAATAAAAACCAGGCAGAATTTATTTACAAAAAGTTTAGATTCCATTGCAATACAACTTGCATAAATTACTAGAAGCTTTATATCATTATAAAAATAAATATCAAATTTGTTTCCACTTCTGAAGTACTCAAGTTCTTCAATCACGTTTTATTTCTACTGTGTACATCTTTTACAAATAAACTTTACAGTAAATCCTATCACACCTATAGAATATATACCGTGGCAATGAAGTGATCAATTCAAGATATCCTGAGAAAAACAGATTGTTTCCAAGAGTCACACATACATTGGGGGAGCTATACTATGCCGACAAATTCACGTATGTCCAACAACAGTCTGTTCCAATCACTAGAGTCTGTGGGTGGACAGTGCTGGGTGGATCCTTCTCCTTACAGTGGCACAAGATGTGGTCCGGATTAGAGATCTGGTGTTTGTATCTGTGTGTTTATGAGCTTGGGAAGGGAGAATGGCCTGCTGACTTTTTTTTTTCCAAAGCAATTGTGACACCTACCTGTGGACCAAGGAAAAAACCAAATCATCCCAAATCCTTCAGTTCCACACTGACACCATCACATTAGGAAATGAGTTGACCAGAAATGGTTCCACCTCTCCCATCTTCAAGATCTGTGATTAGTAATTTTGTCTAGTTGTAAAGCAACATATTTTTTGAGAAACTGCTGTGAGCCAGGAGAACTTCAGAGTCCTGTCTGGTCCACGTGGACACGCGGGAGGGCAGGGCTGGTAAAGGCTGGCACCCCTGGTGCCTCTCCAGTCCCAGCCTGTAAACATCATCTATGAAGGTTTTGAGACTTCGAGTTTCAGTGACACTAGCCCATCAAAGCCGGTGCCTAGCATGTGTCTAGCATAGTAAAACTGGCTCCAAATTGCATTCAAATGCCCAGATTTTAATAATCTATTTTTTTCAAAGAGAGAACAACAGCAGTGTTGCGATATATATTCCAGTTTAAGGAATGACTCTTCAAAACAGAACTTGAGCCAGAAATCGGGAATCTACAAAACAGAACAGACACTCTCCCGCTTTAAGGGAAAAAAGGCCAAAGGAGATTGACATGCTCTATCTTCCAACCTCATGAAAAGCAGCAAGAAAAACACATTAAGCGAGTGCACAGAGCGGTTGGTGCTGGGAGGCTCCCCGGGGTGTGGGAAGCACCAGGGTGCCCACTTACTTGCACGCCACGCTGGCCCTTCTATAGGTAGGGCTGGACGCCCCCGCCAACCACGGTGCAGCCCTCACCGGCATCTGTCGGGGGAGGGGCAGTTAGTGAGAACCCGACCCCACAGCCCGCAGCTCGCAGAGCAGACGTGCACCCACCCTCCCAGGCACCCATGCAAACAGCAGACGGCTGCAGAACCGGCTGTCCCTGGCACCACTATCTGAGACACCTCTGGTTGTGTTCCCTAATGCTCACTTCCGTCCCCCCTCGACTCCTCTAGCAGGTAGCCCGAATGCCGAGCAGCAGAGGCAACACAGAAACGCGAGAAGAAAGCCGATGGTTGTTATTTCCTGTTTTGAAGACATAATGCCTCTCAGAGTAACTGGGGACGTTTTGCTTCCTCCCAGCCAAAGGCAGAGAGGAGGCTCCAGCTGAGACTCCCCTTAACCCACCCGAGGCGCTGCAGCAGACCCAGGCGGGCACTCCCCCAGCAGGGACACGGGCTGTTGCCTGCATTTTGTGGCCATTTATGTCTGCTACAACTGTTTTAAAAGGCATGATAGTAACAGCAGTAAAACGAATAATAAGTGAATAAAACGTAAATAATGCCGGGGTGAGCCTGAGAAGAGCCCCCGCTCTCTGGCCTTACTCCCCCGCCCCGCTGCCCCTCGGTCCCTGTCGCTAACTGGGCTCACAGGAGGGCGGCCGGCCTTTCCCTCACTCCCCCAAACGGCTGGGGTTCCCGGCCCTTCCCGCTGCTGTCCCAGGAGCTCTGCCCGGCCAGGCCGGCAGCCGGCTCTCCCTCCCTGGGGACCCCGCGGCCACGGGCAGCCTACCTTTCTTGGGCTCGTAGCCGCCGCCCGGGGGCCGGTAGTGGGGCTCGAGCGGATTGGCGCCCGCCTTGCCCGCGTCGCTGGCCGCCTTGGGTGCCGCGTGCAGCGCCTCGCCGGGGGCCGCCGAGTTGTACCGCAGGAGCCCCTGGCCCTGCAGCGCGGCGTTCAAGTTCCCGTAGTTCGTGTAGTTGCCGTAGAAGGGCGCCGTGTAGTAGAGGTGGCGGCCGAGCAGCGGCGAGGCGGGGTAGGGCGAGCCGCCGGGCGGGGCCCCCGACGAGGCAGGCGCGGCGGCCGCAGGCAGCCCCGGGGGCGCGCAGCCCGGGCCCAAGCTCGGCTGCTTCAGGTCCGACGTGGCGATCTCGGCCAGCGACCACAGCTTGGGCTTGCTGGCGGGCTGCGGCGCGCCTGGCGACGTCCGGCTGCTCAGGGGCGTCTTGCCGCCGCCGCCCCCGCGGGGCGCTGGCTCCGGTGGGGGGCTCAGCAGCGGCGCCTCCACGCCGGTGAGCGGCGACGAGGTCACGGGCTTGGGCGGCGCCAGGCCCCGCTCGGCCTCCTCCTCTTCGTCCTCCTCGTCCTCCAGGTCCTCGTACTTGTCTTTGCACTCGGAGCCCGACTCGCACAGGGGGTCCCCGGTGCGGCACGGCAGCTTCTCCCCGTCCGACTCGGCTGAGCACGAGTGATCCGTGAGCGAGTCGACGTGCAGGCTGATCCCTGAGGGGGCGCGGGCATGGTTGGTGGCACGCGGGAACAGTGCGGGCACTAGAACCCCCTCCGCCCCACATCCTGGGGTACCCGCCCTCCCCAGGCGACCCCTCACCTCGCCCCAACCCCTGCCATGTCTGGGAGAGCTGGACCTCCCCAGGAAATGAGCGAAGGCAGCGGGCGGCTGGGGCTCAGCCCGGACCTGGGGTGTCGCGGGGCAGTGTCCCCGACCCCGGCTCTGCGCCCAGCCTGCGAGGGAAGGTCCCCGAGACCAAGACCGTGCGCCGGCCGCGGGCGGCCCGCTCACCTTCGTCCTCCGCCGATGTCTCATTGCCCTCCTGCGCCTTGTCGGGGCTCTCGTCCTTGCTTCTCGCCGTGTCGCCCTCGTCCTCGTCCTCATCCTCGCTTTTGTTCCTCGGGGCCCATGTCATCTTGTTCTCCTTCTTGAGGCGCCGGCGCGCGTTGGCGAACCAGGTGGACACCTGCGTGAGGGTCATCTTGGTGATGATGGCCAGCATGATCTTCTCGCCCTTGGTGGGGTAGGGGTTCTTGCGGTGCTCGTTCAGCCAGGCCTTGAGCGTGGCTGTGGCGTCCCGCGTGGCGTTCTTGCGGTACGCCGGGTCGTTGAGCTGGTACGGGTAGGCCGCGCTGCCGTACGGGTGGTAGCTGATGGCGCCTGTCATCCCGGTCGTGTGCGCGTCGTAGGGAGCGCCCTGGAACCAACAAGAGCCTGTGAGTGGGGTGTGCGGGGACCAGGCAGGCATCGACCCAGCGCGACCCCTCCGCCCGCCCACCTCCGCCTTTCCCTCTGCGAGTCTCCCGCTCTCAAGCCGCCCTTCCCGCAGCAAAAAAGAAGGTAAAAAGCAGTGTGATTTAGGGCCAGCTGTGGATCACAAAAAATACTGTAGTTTTATTCTCGATTTTTTTGAACTATTTCACTTTCCTAAGATGACTTATCTTCCCTTAAATGTTCCAGAGCGGCGCGCACAGATGTTCACACACTTACACGTGTGTGCACACAGGCCTACAGGTAGTTTCTTGATATCTAAATTTCTCTGGATGCTTCAAGTGCCACTGCCTCACCCAACTCCCTCGTCCCCGCCCTTATATGGTTAAAAAAATACCCCAAAGCCCCACTCCGCTATTCACCGCTCTAAAGCTCTGCAAATCCAATTTGCAACTCAGAAGCCAGTCACCGTTTCGAATTCTTCAAATACGCGGTAATTAGCATTTTAATTCACCCTTTAACGTTTAAATTCGAGACATTTGCAACCCTCGCTTAGGCCGCTGCTACTCAGTCGCTGCCCTGGAATTCCACCGAGGGCCGGCAGTGGCCACAATCCCCGTAATGGCCTCAATCGCCCATAACGTGGTTCGCCGAGGGCCCGGCCTGGCCCAGCTGCGCACCGGAGGCACGAGAACCGGCCCCGGGTTGCGGGAGCAGGAGCTGCTCTCGATGCGCTGAGGACTCGGGCACTTAGCGAGGCACACGCCTGCCCAGACGTTTTTCCGAAAGCAAGGTCTGCGGGCAGATTAAGGCCCGAGACCAGGGCGCCTCGGGCCAGGATCCGGAGTTGCAGCCGGATGCTCCGTTTCCTCCCCTAACTCGGTGACCCCGCTGCCCCAATTCCCCGAAAGTGAATGCGAACTACCCAGCGGCCGCCCCAGAGGCCCCAGTGGCGCCGTCCCTCCCACCCCACGCCAAGGCGGGCGAGTCTTCGGCCGGATCCGGACCCCTCACCAGGCTGCGATGCCCGAACCAGGGACAACCCACCGCAGACGCCAGCCACGGCAGAGTCTCACTTCCCAGGTTCCTGGAGAAAATTATCCGGCGAGCCAACGGGGAGCGCCACGGGGCGCTGGGCCCGGCCAGGACTTCCCCTGCTGAACGCGCTGCCCGCCACCCCGGCCCCTTGTTCCGCCTGCGGCGCGGCAGACAGAGCCGGCGACTCCGGAGCCACCGCCCGCGCCACATTCCCTGCGGTCCCCGCTCACCGATCCCCACCCCACGCGGCCCGGGCCCCACCAGGGTCCCCACGCCCCGGTGTCCCGCGTCCCGAACAGCGCACGGTTACCATGTAGGACGGGAAGCCGGCCGCGGCGGCGGCAGCGTCGGCCGAGTACTGCAGCGGGCTGCCAAAGCCCGTGGCCGCCTGTGCCGTGAAGGCCGCCGAGCCCGGGTACGGGCTGAACGCCGAGCCCGACGCTGAGCGCGCCAGCTCCTCGCTGCGCGGCGCCGCCAGCGCCGACGCGCCGTACGCCGGGCACGAGTAGAGCGCCAGCGAGCCGGGCGCCTGGTACAGGTAGCCCTGCGGGTAGGACATGGTGGGCGCGGGGCGCGGGGCCCGCGTCACGCCGAGCAGCGGGCTGGGCGCGCGGCGCCCTCCATCCACGCCCGGCCGGGGCGCGGCGCGGCGGCGGGCACCCGCGCCGAGGGCCGACGCAGGCCGGCCCGGGCACTAGCCTGGGCGGCCCGCGGGCCGGGGGAACGGCGGGGCGGCGGTGGCGGCGGCGGCGGCGGCGGCAGCGCGGAGCCGGTAGGCGCAGCCGCGCGCCAGGCCGGCGGTCGGGGTTTGGGGGAGTCTGGAGTCGGGAGTGAGGAGTTGAGGAAGGAGCGCTCGAGTTTCCGAGGGACATTGGAACGCGGAGCTGTCCGTCACGCGCTCATCTGCATATTCGGGTGCCCGCCCCTCCCCTGCTCCGCCCGCTCCAGCCGCCCGGCGGCGGCCGGGGGAGGGGCGGGGAGCCGCGAGGGGAGGGGCGGGGAGGGCGGAGGAGAGGGAGGCGGGCGCGAGGGAGGGACGCGAAGGCTTTTGTGGCGCAGCCGCCTCTCTCGCAGCTCCGGCCCCGGCCCGCGGCCCTGCAGCCTAGCCAGGCCGAGCTGCGTGCCCCGGCGCGCACCCCCCACTCGCGCTTACTCCAGCCACGTCCCCCTACCCCGCTCCAGGCGGCTCCCCCAGCTCGTCCCAGCCACCTTCTTCGTTCCTCCTCCCTTTCCCCCTCCCCCACTGCCCCGCCCCCCAGCTCGGCTCGCTCGGACTAGCAGAGGCCGCCCGCAGTCGGGCCGGGCCGGGTCCACTTGGGGGACGCACGGCCCGTGTCCCTTCTCCACCCCAGGGAGGCAGGCCAGCCGAGATGACTGAGTGCCGGACTCCGGCGTCCAGTCCGGAGTCGCAAGGAAACGGGGAGGAGGCAGGATGGTGGCAGCCACGGCCTGGGTCCTCCTTGGGGTGGTGTGCGGGGCTCCCACTCCCACCTTCCTCGCTCTGCTCTGCCTCGTGGCTGGAGGCTCCCCGCGCCCTCGCGTTCTGGCGGCCTGCGCCTCGCACCCCGCTCCGCCCAGCATGGACCCGGATGGGGGGGCCTTGGTTTCGAAGTGCCAGGAGGGCCCTGAGGTGAGCAGCGGAGACCCCGGTCCCTTAATGACAGGATTTTTCTCGTTGGGAACGTGTGGCACACACCGCAATGCTTCGCTCGTTAGATGCCATCCGCCAAAGGAGTTTTATTGTATTTTGTTTTGATAAGTTGACTCCTCTTTCGGATTTGTGTTGGCAGGACTCTCGCGGAGATGACGGCCACCAGAGAAACCGCGTCTGGCAGGATGTGAAGCCTCTTCGCCACCCCCGGAAGAGAGAGGAGAGGGCAGCCGGCTGATGGCCCTGGCACAGTGGGCATCACAGGTAGCTCAGGTAACATGTGGCTCAGGAGGTGCCTCACGGGCTCAGAGGCAGGGTGGTTAGACACGGTCCCTGAGACTCCAGCCTGGCATGCTCCTCCACCCTTCCCCCACCCGGGGACAGCGGAGGAGAAGAGGATATCTGGCTACTCAGCCTGAAGGGTCACCTATGGGGGGCGCTCAGGGGGTTCAGAAGGCCTCAGGTGTGTACTGGCCCCAGTGGGGGCACCCACGCGACAGGTGCCTCTTCCTCAGAAGCCATCTCCAGTGGGTGCAGTGGAGGTGGGAGGCCGCCGGGGGCTGGGAGCTGGGCCACAGCTCAGGCCTGCAGCTGGCACCCCCAGCCGGTGGGTGCTGCAGCCCCCAGGTCGGCCTGTGAGTTCAGGATGTGGCATCCTGCGACCTCTGGGCTGGGCCGGAAGAGCAGGCTAGGCCGCCAGCCCGGTCTGGGCAGGGCAGCAGGAGACACACGCAGGCCAGTCAGGCCGCGGTTGTCTTTCTCCAGGAGAGAGGAAACCAGTTGCAAAGTGCCCTGTTGTGCTTGACAACTCCCTGGCCCCAGGCTTGTCGCTCCCGGTAAGTGCTCCCAGGCCCAGGACCCCTCTCCCTCCCAGATCCCGGCCGCACCTGCTCTCCACACTGTACCCACCCTCCCTGTCCTCTGAGTGCACACCCCCCCATGACCACCAGCCCTAGCACACATGCACGCCACTTCCACACACTCGGGGTCACCTGGAGGACCAAGCGGGCGTGTTTCAGGTGCGACTCCACGTGGGACATGTTAATTCAGTTCAGGGCAGATATTTTAAATCAATAATTATAGAGTTGAAAGCAAGAGAAGTGGGAGAGAAAGAGAGAAAAAGAAAAAGAGATACCTCAGTAGCCTGGTGGGGTGAGCCGCTGTCAACATATGTAACAGTTTTGGTTTTCCTGGGAGGAATTCCTCCAGAAAGATGCAGGAAGGAGATGCCCACACACGGGGAAACAAACACAAACAGCGGCAGATCCGATTGCAGCCCTTTGGGGTTCACTTCCAATCATATTGGTTTAGGTGAAAAAAATTGGGTCTAGTTTTTCTCACCCGAGTAGACTAGCCCTGAGTATTTCCATTTCTAAAGACCCTTCCTGCTGTGGGGTCATTAGCATTTGGGGCTTTTCTTCCCTCCCACCCTCCTCCGGCCTGACCTCCCGCTGGGGCAGAAGAGAAAACACCGACTTATTACAAAAACATCCCCAGTTCAGAGCAGGACCTTATGCTCTAGATACAGTCGATTTTGACACCAATTAAATGTGTAGCCAGACAAGTGCACTTGGAGGCTGTGCCTTGTCCAGCGCGCATCTCCAGGATGGCCTGCCCTTCCCCTCTCCTGAGCCCAGCGCCTGAGTCTGAAGACGGCCTCTTCCCTTCCTGTGTGTACCTTCCCCCCAGCAATTATACTCCTCCGCCGAAATCTAAATTTTCCATACTGCTGCTGCCTGGTGCTAATAAAAACCGTCTACCTCGCACTATTACACAGTCGACTCGCACTACACGCTGTTTTTATTGGTGGTGACTGTAGCAAATTAAAATGCCTACGCAGAGACATTAAAACTTGCGCTTTTCATTGTTATTGGAATATATAAACTCGGCTTTGCTATAAAGCTCTCAGATTTTTAAAAAATCACTTTTCCTTTTCTTAGGTTAAAGTTGACTTTGTCGTCTTAAAAAAAATTGGGAAAAACACCCCGCAAGTGTGAAGGCTCCCCGTGGTGTTCCTTGCGAGGCCGCCTACGGGGTGGCCCCGTGAGCTCGGATTGGACTGGGGTCCCGCGGAGAGGGGAGGCCGCGGGGAGAGGGTGGTGGCGTCCCGGGCACCACAGCCGCCCCCAGCAGGGCCCTGGCTGTTTCGCTCAGGGGCGAGAAGGGCGCTCAGGCACGTGGGGCCGCCTGGCTGAGGTCCGGCACTTCCCTGCTGCTGCTTTAGGTTGTCATCTGAGCTGGGATGACGGCGGGAGCGAGCAGGGACCAGGAGCTGCCGCGAAAGCGGGCCGTTGGTGCCATGGCCCAGGCAGTGAGTGGCTTCAGGCTCATGTCGGATCCTCCCCGCTTTGCCCAGGGCTGTGTGTGTGTGTGTGTGAGAGAGAGAGAGAAAGAGAGAGACAGGGAGAGACTTAACGTTGTCGTAGTATTTTTGTTTCTTGTGTTTGCAGTGGCCTGAGCATTTAGAACCAGTCGATGTGGACGCGCGCCTCTCAGAGAACCGGGTTCTCCTGGGAGGCCCAGCGCAGAGAAGGGCCAGACACACACGCCTGGGTTCCAGGGTCTTCCCAGGAGCGTGGCCGGCTGGGTAGGCCCAGCGCTGGCCAGACTTGGTTGCACCCTGGGGGGTCTGGGGTCCGGGCAGGCGAAGGAGGCAGGCCCGAGCCCTGTGCGCGGGCGGGCGGCGAGGGGGCGCTGTGGGCCAGCCTGCGGCCTCGGTCTCAACACGGTGGCCCAGGCTCTGTCCCCGCGCCACCGACTGGCGGCGGGTGCCCCCGCACCTGGTGTTACCGCCTCTTCCCACGTTGTGTTAATTCAGGGAAGAAGAAAACGGTACCAGGGCATTTCAACAAAACCTGCGCGTCTCGTGACCGTTTGCTATTCTGTGTCATTTCTCTGGCCTGCGGTGGACTTTGTAAGAGTTTGGTGGAAAGATAGCCCCAATTTTGGGGCATGTGATTTTTTTTTTTTTTTTTTTTTGGCAATTGAGATTAAATATACACATTTTACATGGGTTCCCCTTGGTGAAATCACATTGCAAATGTAAGTAGCGTCCATGTATCAAATCACAGTCCTACTGTATCCACGACCAAGACCCCTCCTGTGCCAGGGCTCCCCGGCGGTTTGCGGAAGGACGGACAGCGAGAGTAACGTGGGAGGAAGATGAGAAACCGGGCTCTTCAATTTCCTGCTTTTCTTTTCTGTTTTTGAAAAGAAATACGTCTTTACACACTGTACAACATTTAAATCAAAATGAAAGGTAAATCTCTTTCAAACTTCGTTTACAGCTCTCGGCAGTCTGTGAGTGCGTTTGGTTGGATTTCAGACGCAACGGTATTTCCAGGTTCTCAAACCGGCGTCTGATGCTGGAACGTTTCCCTGGAAAACGCGCAGCCAGGAGACTCCGAGGGAGGCGGAGGGGTCCGGCGCTCCTGTCCTGGGACAGGCGGGGTCTGCTCCAGGTTTTCAAACGGGCCGCGAGGCCTGGCAGCCCTGGGCAGGCGGGCCCACTGCGGGGACAGAGGCGCGGCCACTGGGGGCCTGGAGGGTCGCCCTCGGGGTGGCCGGGCTCCTGGATCCAGCACCCCAGGCGCGAGCGCCCTTTCCCGTTCTCTGGTTGTGTATTCTAGGGAGCGCGTTCTGTTAGCCTGCTCTTCACTCGACTGTCCTGTTTTAGCTCCAGATTACTGGCGGTGTCGTCACTGCTAACTTGTCCCTCCCGGTTTCCTTTAGTGGCAGCAAAATTCGCCATCCTCTGACAGATGCCCCTCCTCCGATGAGCTTCCTGAAGTTTCTCTCTGGTGCAGGGTCCGGAAAATCCTAATTTCTCCATTTCTCAGCAGCTCTCTGTCTCTGTTCTTCTTCTCTCTTTCCCTGCTCTCCCGCGTCCTTCGCCTGGGGCTCTTTTCCTCTTCTGCCGCCCCCCCCCCGCCCCCATCACTCTTGGGGCTCCTTTC